TACAGGCGTGAGCCACTGTGCCTGGCCAGAAGCTTTCAGTATTTAAGTGTTAGTACCTAATTGACTAATACTTGCAAATGCTCCACCAACACACACGCACATACACACACGCACACACGTGTACAGACAAAGCTACCTTAATGAAAAAGACATGTGTGCTCTGTATCTACTTATAAATCAGGGACATCTCTATTTGATAGATCTTTCAAAGAAGCAGACATCCTGCTTACCTGGATTTTAAGAATCTTTGTAAATTATTCTTTTACATTTTGTAATTTTGGGGTGAAGTATCTTTTCTCCTTCCCCTTGTATTGAAGTTGACTTTTAGCAAAGCTACACCACACTATAGGAAGGTAAAATGATAAGCTCTGATATTAAAAGGATAACACCGAATAAAACTAAGGTCTGGCAGCTTTACTTCCTCTTATGAGTAATAGAAAAGGAAATTGATACTTGCTTTGTGGGACGTACAATATGTTCTGGGGACCATTCCCATTTCAGTAAACAATGTAAAGGAGCCCCAAGATTAGCACAGCATGGTTGGAACAAGGCGAGCAAAGAGGACACTATAGGGAGGAAGAGGCACTCACCTTCATAGAACAGCATGTTCAGAAGTTAGAGATACAGTATGGTTTGGGACCTACATATGGGAGTCTAGGGCTACTGCACAGCGTGAGGAGAACAGGAGAGGAGGCTGAAGAGGTAGGCAGTCTCAGAAAAAGGAGTACCTGGCATTCCATCTATCCACCCCTTGTGAGTCTGGACTTTATGTTATGGACAGTGAAGTACCAATGAAATAATTTAAGTAGAAAAATGATGCGAGATTTCGGTGAGGAAATAACTGAAGGAAAATAACATACACTAAGAAACTACTGCAAACGGCCAAGTAAATCACAGTAAAAACCTGAACTAAAGAAGCAGCATCCGTGATGGACTAAATGACAGAAATGGGATGAATTTAAGAAACTGAATCACAAACGGTTGCATGCAAAGGTGAGAGAACAGGGAATTCTAAGGCTTTTCGTTTGGTGACTTGTTAGATGGAATCGTCATGCCAGTAAAGGAATGCAGGTGGAAAAACGAGAATTTAAAGAAAAAATAATGTGTTAAATGTTGGTGTTTATGGAGATGTCTCATAAAGAGATTGGATATATGGCTCTTTAGTTTGGTAGAGAGATTCGTGTTGAAAAAAAAATATATATATATATATGTGAGTGCGAGTGTGTCCCATAAATATAGGGATTGTTGCTGAGGTTGTTAGTATGAATAAAATTATCCAAAGAGAGTATTTGGAGCACTGTTTTCAACTCGTAAAAAATACAGATGCCTGGGCCTGTCCCCAGGAATTCTGATCTAATTGGCCTTAGACGGAGCCTCAGGCGTCATTCTATTGTTACAGCCTCCGTGGGGATGCCAGGGGCGCCCAGTGTACTTGGTCTAAACTGAGATGAAAGAGGACATAGACTAGATTTCTGGAAAATAGCATGTCAGAGAGGAAGGAGAAAAGCAACGGACTGAGAAGGAGAGCCGGAGAGTTGGGCGGGAGGATGGGGTGAAAGGGACCACAGCAGCTACAGTGGACGGAATTTCAAAAAGCAGAAGTTTGCTGTCAAAGAAAAACAAGTTAAAGACAGAAATGCATCTATTACGTGAGCAGTTAAGAGCCTGTTAGTAACTTTAGGACGAGCGCTCTTGTTGACATCGTGGTGGGTGAAGCCAGTTCCCGGTGCACGGGGCAGCGAGGCCGCCGGTGGGCGCAGGGGCTTGGCGGACGATGGAACCCAGGGTAGAAGGGCAATTACTTTCGTTTTTTCTGGCTCTTCTTCTTTTCATGGAGCAAACTGTATATTTTTAGTTCTTAAACAGATACTCTATTCTGTAGAAAAAAGTAAATTTAAAATATAAGAGAAAGGGGGATAAATAATCGGTCAGGTTTCTAGAGGTATGACAGATTGTGGTAAAGAATACAGGTGAGGTCTCGGAAACCAAGAGAGGAGTCCCTTTACGAGTTTCAGGTGGTCTGAAAACTCCCTCAGTTGGAGGACATGTTCTGTACATGTGTGCACTATTCAGGCCAAAGTGCCTGCCTTCCTCGACGTGTCTAAAGAGTCTCAGAGGATGAAACCTCTCATAAAGGAGCCTCGGTTTGAGATCCAAGATAACTTAGAGGAAGTGTGAATGTGGAAGGCAGCTGTGAGCTGAGAGATTTGAAGGTGAAGAAAATGTAACTTTAGGGACCTGGACCTAGATAGCTTCACATGGTTTACATGTGCCATCATCACTTCACTTTTTTCTCTTTCTTTTTGTCTACAACTAGAACTCTATGGCACATTTATTTTAAAAAAGTTATTTCACTACCTACTAAAATTCAGCTAGTGGGGTTCATGTGTGGGTGGGTGGGTGTCATTAACTTCAACGTGTTGGACCAAAGGAAAATGAATTGTCCACATACGATGTGGTCTACCAAAAGCCGTAATGATAGCATTTCTCCCAAAGGAACATTGAAAGATTTGTTCATCCATGTTGGACAGAACATAAGGGACAATGAAAATGAAGGTGCGAATAAATGAATTCGTGTTAGATAGCCGTGTATTTCCTGATAGAGGAAATAGGTGGGCATCTGTCAGTAGATGACAGATTTCTAAGTACATTAGCAAGGGCTGTTCTCATTGCTTTACCTTTCTCTAGACATAATATTATTTACGTCTAAAAGAATTATCCACAATCAGAAATGGTTTGTTTCCTCATAAATTTTAATACTGACTTATGGAAAAGGAGATAAACAGGGGAATATATGTTATAGGATGATAAAGCATACAAACGGTGTATTTAATGCTAACACATAAATGGGTCCAGTTCTTTAAGCATTTTCCTTTTGTTTTTAGATTCATACTTTAGGGAAAAGATATAGTTTTTCAGGTAGTTTCTTTGGCTACTTTCAAATTTGCAGATTTCAAAAAATTCACTGAACCTACCTCAAAGCTATCATTATTGTGGATACTATATTTGTTGACTTTTGTGGTGTATATTAATCATGGATAAGAGTATGCCTGTTTTTTCTTGAAAGAGTTATAAAGGTCTCTTTTTGATGTGGAAAGAGTCAGAAACATTTTTATAAATTAAAAAATAATCTGTAAAATAATTTTGTAATATGAATGGACTTTTACCTATGGATCTTTAATTTTATATTTGGAGAGCATCAAGGTTATATTTTATTCTATAAGTCTCTAATTTCCAAGTCACTATGTATCTTAATTTTGCATAATTTTTTGACATCTATGCATACAATTGTTCACTTTTGAAGTCATCAAGGACGATATTCAAGATATCTTTAAGAACGTGTGAGACAGGGGCAGCCACCATCCAGAATGGCTGTTGATCACATGGGGAGCAGGCTCTGCTGTGCTAACTCTTAACTTTCAAGTGTCTGGAGGGGCTCAGTCCCTGAAGAGGGCCACAGAGCAGGGAAGCACTCAGAGGGCTCCAGGCAACAGCTGCTTACTAACTAGGATAAATGTGTGTTGAGATTTCAACAAATGTTACGGCCGTTCTGGAGTAAGCTAGCCAAATGTAAGTCTGGAGTGCCAGAATTTTGGGCTGGTTTGGATGTGAGAGGGGAAGAATGGAAGAGCATTAACAAATGCATTCGTGTGGTGGCATAAGGCTCTTCTATGATTCTTTAGAGAGCTGTAAAGACACCTATACAAACAAACTCATTTATAATTTACTCAAAAAGATTTTTTGGGGAATTTCTTAATGACAAGTACTGAATGCTGAGAAAAGAAGGTAAATAAGATATGGTTTTTTATCTTTCATGAACTATTTAAGGAGGAGGTCGATAAAGAAGAGTTAAATTGTACTTATACCGATTTTCAAGAAAGTGGGAAAATATGGGCTGGTCTAAAGCTAGAGTTCACAGCCAGTTGGTTAATTGTTCACAGTGAGTTACAGGTCAGACTCCTCGTTCTACTCCTACCCACCTTCTCACTACTGCACTTGACCAGTCTTAAAAAAGAAAATAGGAACGTACATAAAAGCTTCAAAGAGCATCCTGCTTTAGACAACATGGCTTGTTGAAGTGGTCTGAGCTTGGGTTGTCTGTGAGGTGAAAGACCTTGGAAGTAGAATATCTTTAAGGATAATAAATGTCACGTGCATTGCAGAGTTTTAAACCTGAGAGTGATGTGAGCAGATCTGCATGCTCCACAAAGTGCTCTTAATATCCTTGGATATGCACTTGGATGTAATCAAGACACCTAACTGGGACTCCTTGAGTGGTTGTATAACTCTGTGCCAAACAATTCTCAAGTGGTTTCTGATCTTAAACCTGGGTATTCCATAGAATATAAGAAAAGACACAGAAAAATGTCCCTTGAACTTCTAAACCTGAGTCGGCAGCCTTTCACATACATATCGTGACTTGTTAGTTCTGCATTAGACATCGAAGTGGTCATTTTATATCAGAATAATATTTTGTGCAACACCATCTATTTTAAGGTTCACCTCTTAGACATTTTTATGAACACGTTATCCCTTAGAATAGCAAGTACCATGCACTTTCTTTGTATTTCCATGCGTATCATCTGCAAAGTTTGATAGGCATACAAATAGAATCTGAAATCAACCTAAGGATTTAAGAAATGGACTCTCAGGCATAATCTTAAAAAGTCTTTCTTTTTCACAGCTGCTCCAAGACAGTGCATTGAACTTTACTTTGATGAAAAGTACTCTATTGAACCGTCCTGGGAGTGCAAATTTGATCACATTGAAGTTCGAGATGGACCTTTTGGCTTCTCTCCAATTATTGGACGTTTCTGTGGACAACAAAATCCACCTGTAATAAAATCCAGTGGAAGATTTTTATGGATTAAATTTTTTGCTGATGGAGAGCTGGAATCTATGGGATTTTCAGCTCGGTACAATTTCACACCTGGTAAGTAAGGGCTTTTTCTTTTTCTTTTCTTTAAAATCTATGTCTTTTTTCTTCCTGTTTTCTATCTTTATGGTACGAAATCTTTTGTAAGACATCATTGTAACTTTTCAAAGAATTTTCAAGTTCTATTTAAAACCAAACCTACAATGTGCTCCCTTTTCACTTCATGAATTCTGAAAGGAAAATATATTTTCCTTGAAACGTAGCCTACACCAGAGGTAAAGGGTAGTGACTTAGGGGCCTCCATGGTTACCAGTAACACAGTTAATTAAATGGACTTCTATTACGCTGAATGTGCAATTTGAGAGACAGTCTGTGATGAGGAAACTAGTTATACGTTGGATCCCAGTAAACTTGAAAAGGCAATTGTAGTATTATAAAACATATCAGTCAAAATGATCTTTGGAGAACTTGAATAAAAAGTTCATTTGTTCTGAAAATTATCATTTTTAAAGCAAATAGATTCTACTACAAAGTAGTCTGATCTCTTTTTAGAAATGCAAATTCCTGAGAGTTTTGATAAAAGGAAAACTGAGACCTGTAGTAGCCAAATATTCATTTGCAGTCTTGCAGACATTACATGCAGTTATAAAATTATGCATCTATGTCAATTTTGCTTTTAACCTGCTAATAATAAAACTGGTCCGTGATGTTTACTGGCTCACTTTATGAAGTTATTATTCATTATGGTAAAAATTGGTTATCATAGTTTTAAACTGCAAAAGCATCATATTCATCAATTTGAGATTTGATGAAGTCATTATTTTAAATGGAAAAAATGATTCAAATTACATAAAGCCCACTATTTATATATAAAATACATATTTTTGGTCTGTATGTATTGTTTTACTTAGATTATAACATGTAATATAAGAATTTGAGATATATGTAAAATTCGTTGAAATTTCTATTCCACGTTACAGACATAACATCTAAACAGGGCTTTGACGTTCAGTTAAAAAACTAAAATTTTAAAAATGATTAATATAAGATTAATGATGACTTTCATTATGACATCATGGTGTGTGTTAAATAAATCAGACATTAACTGGATCATATGCATTAATCTTAAGCATTAGGAAATTGTGATTTTAATTATGCTTTGGTATTATCAGATTGCTCACAGAAATCATGGGTATTTCACGTGCAGGACCAAACTAATTTGAGGTACTCCAAAAAGGTACAAGCATCAGCTTATTTTATCTGTCAGATTATTAGTGCTGGAGTTGTAAATGGAAATGTCTGTATTTGTTCTTAACTGATAATTTTGAACATAATCTGGAGCTAGAGACAGTGGAACATGGCATGATCCAGGATTTTATACATTATATTTTAATTCTGTGTTTGGTGATCATGAAAATAATGTCTAGGCTTCAAAATTGTGGTTTCATAAAGAATGTAGGGTCAACTAACGTACTTTATCCACATAAGCAATGCTATCCACTTGTCTAGATCTGCTTGAGATGATAGACGGTGGTGGTCAGTCTGATCTTCTAGGTTTTGAAAGCCTTTTTTTTTTTTCCCTGTACATTGTTCTTTGCTCTTTGTTGATTTAAAGCCACCATACTTCATCTATGGAAGGAGAAAGTTTCATTTCAAGGGACAAGTGAATCAGAAGCCAACTTGAGGAGATGGTTCCGTGAAATTAGGATGAGTTAAGGATGGGCTGAGGCTTCTGTTTACACTTAGATCAACTAGAGTGAAGCCTGCAGGGAAACTTGGCATATGAGGCAAAAACGGGACCATAAGAAGGAGGCTTGTAAAAGTTCCATGACAGCAAAAATTGACATTATATGGCCTGAGGCCACTGTCCGAGTAGCAGAACAATGTACAACTCATTCCACAAAGGGGCAGTACTGAGGAAGCCAATTAGTTATTGAAATAGGAAGTGGGAAAGGATTAGTGATAATTTAGACTGCATTTATGGAATCTGGAGCCAGGCTGAAATTGTCATTTTGGCTTAATTTTTATTTGGTGGTATGATTCAAGTGGCGACCCGGAGAAATTGAGGAGGGAAGAGTTTCTCAAGTCAACTTAATGATGTATGTTGTCAAGCATTGCTGGAATTGCCAGGACACCCGAGTGGACTCACATGGTGGTGAAGGTCTCCTAATGGGTCATCTCAGACACCTGGTCTCCAGGACAGCTGGGAGGGGCACTGGCTTTGGAAACAGATTTGGCTTCCAGTTCTGGCTTCTTTTCCTTGCATGCTGTAAACTTTGGGTATAGCTTTTAACATTCTTTTCCTCCATATTTTTAACTGCAAAATAAGGATAATATTGACCACTTCACAGAATTGTTTGAAGGTTAAGTCAACAAGTGCCTATTTATGGAATTTTTGAGTGACTGTAAGATTTCAACCATTGATAGCTATTATTTTTGTTAATTTGATCATGCATTCTTTCAAAGAAAAAGAGACATGGTATAGGAAATTGAGAGAACAAGTGTCCCGGATAGATTTTTTTTTAATTATAACCCCCTTTCCCATGATTTTTTGGAGTAGATGCACAAAATTAATACCTATAGCATCTTACTTTTCCTTAGTTTAGAAAAGTTAGTTAGTTTAAATGGGCTTGGACTTCCAGGTGAGGGTTATAGTTATTTATGATGACAATCATAAAATATGTCAAGGCAGAAAGCAGCAGCAAAGGCCAGGTGGTCTTTATTATTTTTATGAATTTTACCACAATCTGGAATCTAGATTTAATCTCATAGTCTCAGAAACATAATGTCAACACATTGAGAGCATACCCATCTCTTAGGAATGAATCACGTTTGCCAACCTGGCAAGACTGAAGATACACATATACATAGTCCATATACATAAATATACATACATATATAGATTATACACACACATACACACACACACACACACACACACTTTTTCAATAAGAATTCTTAGAATTGCACAGCCTAGTTTTTCCTGTAAGCAAATATACCTGAGTAGGCAGATTATATCAGAAAGTTGTTTCGTGATTATGGAATCCAAATATGAAGCTACATAACATGCATGTTTTTATATCATCAAGCTAAGACCTAGTGATCCATCTTCATAACGTGGATCATTTCTTCCAAGGGAGCTTTAGACCTCACACTACCTTAGGTTAGTTCCAGTCTCCAAGCTCCTGTTTCCATCTTAACCAGCACACTGACTGTGTAGACTTTTATCGACAAGATTGTTTCTGTGTCCTAGTATCTGGGTCCCTGACTTTTTTTTCCACTGCATTTTAAAAAATGGCCTGGCTCTTGCTGTTCCTAGGAGTTATGCTTCCGAATTCCCAGTGATGTATGGAAACCAGCCAGCTGGAGGTCATGCATGGCCATGGCAAGTAGGAGGGCAGAGATAGAGAAGATACCTCGGAAACTCGCTTACAGGAGGCTCTTCTCTTTCTCCTGACACATTCCAATGATCCCTCAGTTTTTAGTTCACTGACGGATATTTTTAGATGCTGTGGCTTTACCACATCCACAATGCAGTGATGAATCACCTAGGATTATAGTCTGGCATGCATTAAAAGGATTTTGAGATTGAGCAGTAGTCAGGGAGAAATCAACTGGTTCAATTTTGAGGGTCTGCTAAGGGCATAAGTGACACTTACAGAAGGGATATGGGGCCCAGAGCTCTGGTGCCAGCTCAGGGACGACACCTATAGTGACAACCTCTCTTCTTCCTGTGTTAAGAAGTCTCCTCTCCCACACACTCTCCCACTTCCCAGAAGAGAGATGAGTGCAGAATCACTGACAATGCCAAAAATTACATGATGGAAAATTTGATAACAGACAATTCAATAAGAAAACATATAAAAACATGTGAAAGTTTTCACTGTAATAGAATTATATTGTTTTCCCACTTAAGAAGACATTTTTCTTTAAAATAATTTAAACCAAATTTATTATAGAAGAGCAAATAATCAGAAAATATTTTGTGATACAAGTAATTTGAACAATCCTGGAATATCATGAGCACCAAGCTCATAAGAATAGTGTTCCTCAGCACCCTAGACAAAGGATGGCAGAGGGGGAGAATGAGGATTGCAGGGGCCGAGATCGACATGTGGTAAAAATTGACTCAACTCCATTGGTGATGCTTTAATTTTTCAAATGGATACTGTATTTTTGGTATTACACAAGTAAGTAAATTACTTGAGATAAAAGATAAAAAAAACTACAGTTGATAATTTTAATGAATTTTTAGAAGGGGCAATATCATTTTTCCATGTTTCACAAATTTTTCTACTCAAACTAAGAATGCCTTTTGAGCAGAGTACAACATTTCCCTACAGCCAGCTGCCTTCTTCCCTCAATTTTTTTTTTGCACTTGAAAATAGAAGGAGGAATCACGTCACAGTTATCTACTGTACTCCTCACTCCCATGGCCTTACCCAGAGATTTTATAATCAGTTTTAAGAAAGAAAAGATTCAGGATGTTCCATTCCTAGAGAAGGTAACCCTTCCAGTCTCTTTGGTAACAGGTATCTTTTGTTAGTCTTGTACTTTATTTCCTAATGGAAAGATTTTCTGCTATTTATAGAAATAGAATGAGACATTTATGGAATCTTCCTCTTTTGAGTATATTTTTTCTGTACTAGTTTTATGAAGTGAAGTACATACAATGTACTGGAGATGTTTAACTTAAGGAATATACCTCAAAGCACCAAATAGGTGAGGAGGTTGAGTTAGGCATTGGCATTGGAGTGAGTGAAGTTGTTAAATATGTTGAAATTATTATGATACTTTGTATTTAAATAGTACCTGTCATCTGAGGAGCTCAAAATGTTTTAGGGACTTTCTGACCAATTCCTAGCCTCCTCTCAAGCTCCATGCTGATTCACTTCAAAGGCAAAAGAAACAACACAAGGCAGTGCAGTGATTTAAATTCAGAGTTTTTAAAAGATTTCTATGCATATTAAATGAAATATTTTATTAAGGTAAGACACTCTCATGGATTTAATGTTATTTTAATTACTCAGTGTGATGTTTTTCTTTTTTTGATCAGA